ACCCCAAAACCCCAAAACCCCATAAGTTTAAAACCGTTAATCATTTTTAAAAATAGAAATACATTTTAGAAGAGGAAATTATTAAAGTTTCACATATAATTACTAAATATATTTAATATCTTATTAACTTCAGCCAGGATTGTTATTAGGGGAATCTACTGTTGTAGACCAGGCAAATACTTCTTTTGTATCATATGGATTATTAAGATTCATGCAAAGCCATTCCTTCGTGCTAAATCTATAGAAGTAAGCTGAAGATGAAGTTATTGCATAGCCTAGCTAAGCTCCACACTGAGCAGATGAATAAACAGCAATGAAATACTTGCCAACATCGATGAGTCCATTGTTGAGTGCATTTGATGCACTTTAACTTATAGCAGGGATTGCAATTTTTTCTACAACTTCTAGAGTATTTTACTGATCATTGGCTGTTATTCTATAGATCTCTGGAATAGAAGGGAAGTATCCATAAACATCTCTCTCCTCTTCAGGATTATCTGGATCTTATCTTCTTTAAATCATAACCAGTTCTGACAATGAGTAGCCTTATTTCACCAATCCTCCATCTTTAAATTTAGATGCACTTGTGGTTGTCATTGAAGATACAAGATATCTATAGAGAACAGGTGAGCTAGCTTATTTGAGAGTAATTCCAAAATTTTTGTTGAAGAAGACAAAGGAATATTATCTAAAGTTGGTGTTAGTTGAAGAGAAAACTATTTCATTATTGTAGGGGCTTAGAAAATCTATATCTTCAAAATATTTGTAGACTCTTAGTGCTCCTTAAGAAGTAGATGTGCTCACATAGACGAAAATAAACCATTTGTAGAATATGATTGGCAATTAGATCTATCCACTCATTGTCATTTGTCTCTAGAATCTATCCTCAATTCTTTCACTATCTGGATATTAACCAGGATTCTTGACTAATGAGATAATGTTCTTACTAAATCCAAGACCTTTCCAATTCATTCCATCCATGTATCTGGCTATTGTTGCATTTGCATAAGGCCAGTACCATACCTCATGACTGCCAAGGTATTGATTATAATCTAGGCTAGTTGTTTGATATATTTCGTCAAAACTAATATCAGTCTGGTTATGCTTTACCAAAGCATTGAAACTTAATGAAGTTTGATTGATATTCTTGATTAAATATTTTCCAAATGTACCTCTTTGGTAACCAGCGTATTTGTTTGATATTGAAAAGAATTAAACAGGATAAGGAGTATTTTTTACTTCATAGTAATCATCAGCTCCGTTTTTAAGAAGTTTTATTTTAATGTACTCAATGGGCTATTAGATTTTATCATAGTATAATGCATAGTTTATCCCATAAACATTCTCGTTATCTCCAGTTTCGATAAGTCTGAATTTTCCGCTTATATATTTTAAGTTGACTGCATGATTATCAAAAATGAACTCAGTTGTGGTAAAAATCTCCCTATAATATGTACCAGTTCCATTCGATGAACCTTCACCTCCATTTGAGCCTTTAGTACATTTCGAGTAGAATATTGGTAGTTCATAAACTAATTACCAGAAGATGTTTACACAAGTGTATCCTGCTTCTTTCTTGCAAGCAGCTGAACATCCGTCTCCATCGATGTTGTTGCCATCATCGCACTCTTCGCCTTACAGCTCCTTGTCGTAGCCAATTGTAAGATCAAGACCCTCGAATTGTCGATTTCCACAACTAGATGAGCATTTACCCACTAATGGGCATCTAAATGGAAATTCAATTTGCATGCAACCTTTAGCGCAACCATCACCATCAACATTGTTACCATCGTCACATACCTCCCAATCCTCATGTTTCTTGTTGCCACAAAACTAAGTGCATTTTGCTGTAAGATCTGTTAAATTCTGGGTGCAGTTCCAGCCGAGATCAGCCTTGCAAGTTTCATTATTGCAACCTACTACTTGATCACACTCCTCTCTGTAGAATTCATAATTACTGCCATTTGCAAGCTTTTTATTTTGCTAGTATATTTTCCCATCCCCGCACATCTATTAACATGTGAAAAAGTTAGCACAACTCCAACCAAGCTCCTCCTTACAAGTAGAATTGCATCCATCTCCATCAATTAGATTTCCATCATCACATTCTTCACCAGTATCTTTCTTACCATTGCTACAAATGATTGGAGTGCAAACACTCTTCGCTCCTTCTACCTAGGTACATTTGTAGAATTCTTCAATCTTACAGCTACTTGAGCAGCCATCTCCATCATTTAGATTTCCATCATCACATTCTTCTTCATTTGCACTCTTATATATACCATCACCACAACCAACAAGAGACTAGGTTAGACATTTTTCAATTTCCATTCTTCTCAGATTAATAACGAATGCTCTCATATTGTTATAGTCAGTTGTATCTCTTTGTGCCCCACAAAGTCCAGGATTAAGAACTAAAGCATGATATCTTCCAAATTAAACTGTGAAATTATAGAAATCTGTATTATTTGTAATATCATTAAAGACTTAAGCAGTAGTGGTTGTTATTCTTGATATAGCGGAGGGATTGGTATTATTTACTCCCCATACTGGTCTGTGCATATGATTATCTACTCTTGCTTAATATATTTTCCAAAATACTGTTGTGGCATAATTAGTAGGCAACCCAATAGAAGTAGTATAAGTAGTTTTATTTAGATAAGTTATTGTATAGCCCATTTTGTTTTTTTAAGTATAAACTAGACCATTCATTTCAAATGCTGCTAATTGGTCAATTGTGTCATTGTATACAGTAGTAATAAGATAGGTATCTAATTTCTGGACTAATGCTGGTCTAATTGAAACTCTCCAAATCTTAGAGTCAATAGTAGGGTAAGGATCACTTGCAGTTCTGTTACTATATGTTACTAAGAATAGAGTGTTGTTTAAGAATACAAAGTTTTTAAGTACCCCTAAATAGAAAGAACCCGAGAATTCTTTGAGACTAAAAGTAAATTAATTCATCTTTGATTTGTCTGTAAATAGATTTGATTAGCATGGATCGCCTCCTGTTGGGAAACCTGTATCAACTTTCACACTAATAGTGTGATTGTCATCCAATAGATAGAAAATTCCATTAAAATCAGGATGATAGTAGAACTCAGTAACTTAACATGGAAAATCTTTGAAAGTTGAATAGTATTTTTCTTGCTAAAATTATTATGAGTACTTCAGATTAAAAACTGTTCTTTTTCTTTCCAATTCTTCATCATATTCTATTGAGACTGTGAACTTTTTTATCTGATAGCTTTTGAATTAAGTCAATGGGTTGTATGCAAAGTTGAACACGTAGGAGCATCTTTGGAAAGAAATAATGTTTCCAATAAATGTCTAAAGCTCTTCAGATTGGCTGTTAGTGTTTTAATAGTAATGCACTAAATCAAGATTATCATTGCCATCAAAATCATTTTCATTATTTCCAAGTTACTAAATAGCTGATATCTGTTATTAAGATTAGAGAGTACAGCCTGCGGGATTAGGTTGCAGAAAATTTTCTCTAGTCTCTTCGAAAGTAATGTAAAATGCGCTTTGGAAAAGAGAAATAGATCCCTCAAAAAGTCTCTAGCTAATGACTGGGTCGAAGTAGCCATTATCATCGCAGAACTTCATGGAACTGTCGCATTAATTGGTTACTCCTTAAACCCCTACAATTTATGTGAAAGAAAGCAATAGTAGAGTTGATATTAAGAAAAGATTGGAGTCTCCTAATCGGAACAGAATCATACTTGATATTTAATTATTATTTTATCCTTGGTTTATTTTTAATTATTTCTCTTTTTCTAAATCTGTCTGCATTATTTGGAATCATGGGGTTTTGGGGTTTTGGGGTTTTGGGGTTTTGGGGTTTTGGGG